CCCCCAGCACTAGGTGCATTTTCAAATGTTTATTGGGGTGTAGCGGGGAGCCCTGGCTGATGCAGGACAAAAATAGCCCTTCATGATGGGCAAGGCATGCAGTGCACAAGCTCAGGAGTTCCTGAGGTAAAACTTTATTATGGGGCAGCTGGTTAGCTCAGGTGGTTAGAGCGCAGTGTTCATAACACCAAGGTTGCCGGTTCAATTCCCACATGGGCCATGGAGCTGCGCCCTCCACAACTAGAGGACAACTACTTGACTTAGAGCTGATGGGTCCTGGAAAAACAAACTGTTCCCCAATAAAATCCTTTAAAAAAACACACACACAAAACTTTATTTTTCTATCATTCAATGTAATCTTGATTGAACCCTCATTTCTCATCTCAGGCAATATGGCATCTGACCGCATTCCTGGGGTAGCACCCAGGGCACTTGTCTAAGGCTGGAAGGGTAGGTAGCTGGTCCTTCCCAAGCTCCTCGGAGGCTCAAAGACCCAGCCTCCGCAACTCAAACACTACTTTCTTCCAGTGTTACTAATTTGCTGTGAAGTTCAAAGGCACATGTTGAAACTCAGGAACGGCATCCTGTCCTATACCAGGGAGCATTATCATTTTCATGAGCGCTAGGCACTCTGACTGGTGTGAGTCAAGATATGAAATGTATACTTTATGACTATGATATAAAGATGAATACAATCCAGGATGAATTCATTGTTACATATTCATAACTATTATATTCATTTCTTCTTCTGATTCTAAAAGAAATGAAAATATTTTTGTGGGTCCCTAAAAATATTGTATGGGCAGGGATACTCTATTCAACTGGCCACATGGGTGAGGGGCACCGGAAGTTCAGGGTGGGAAGAAGTCCCATATGCTAACACTTCAAAATGTCAACCCACTGCATTTCCAGCACTTACGTGCATCCAGGTCACTCCTCTGTTGAAACTGTGTGCAGGATAACGTCCAAGTTCTTCCCCGGCAGTCAAGGTCCTTCATTGTCTGGTTCCTATCTGCTTTTCCAGTTCCATGTACTATAAGCTTTCAATACCTCCCTCTTGGATGTCTCCAGAACACCCAGCCTTCATCACACCTGCACACCTTTGGTCAGGCTGCTCCCGCTTCGACCACATCATGCACATCTCTGCATCCTTTCAGGTCCAGCTCAAATGTCACTTCTGCTTTGAAGACCCCTCCCTCCCTCCTTGATAGTCCTCATTCATTTCTCTGCTCTAGCACTTACCCTGCTACCTCCATCTCTTCCCTTCAACGGTAGACCCCTTGAAGGCAGAGACCGTGGCTGGTTTTTCTCTGGGTCCCCAGTGCCCAGTACAGAGCCTGGTACACAGCAGGTACTCAATGAATGCAGAATACATAAGCAGATGACTGAGTGAATAAACGAGTGAATGAATGAATGAATGAATGAATGAGGAGATAAGAAATGAGGGCAGTGGTCTGCTCAGCAAAGGGATCCCCTCTGTAGACCCCCAATAAACGGAGGGTCTGAGCCATGGTGGAGCCGGGGTTGAGCTCCCCTCCCAGCCCTGCCCTCTGACTCACCCCCTCCCCAGAGGCTGGTTTCTGGGAATGTGTTGGAAGCTTGGCTCGCCTCCCGGGCCGAATCCTCTGTGTTGACCATGTTCTGCCCCAGGGGTCCCCGTGTTCAAAGGCGGTGCCCCCAGGCAAGGGGCCAGGGATGTGCTGTGCAGAGGAAGGAGCCTCACGTGTCAGCAGGGATGCTATGGGGGGCAGCAGTCTGAGACCCACTGGTAGCCCCCATGGAGCCTCCTCCCTTCCTTTTGAAGTGGGGTGTGCTTCAGGATCCTGGGCACAACATGGGAATCTCAGGGAAATGGAGGTGACGGTACCTACCTCACAAGTCGTCATGAGAACCGAGTGAGAAAACTATGTGGGTGCCTGAAGTCCAGGTGGCATCTAGTGGACGCTAAATGGATATCATCTGGGGTGCAACATGGAGAAACTCAAGACCCAGCAGTGAATGCTGTCACTCCGGAATGCCCAGCACCTGAACCCCTTTCCTTCTCCCAGGGTCCTCCTCCTTCCCCACATCCCTTCCACTGAGGTAGGCCCCTCCCACACAGGTGCTGACAGTGCTGTCACTGGTTTTCCCAGCCTCGTGGTGATGAGGGGGTACAGTAGTCCAGCAGTTGTAGAGGCAGCAACTTGCGTCCAGTGCTGGCGTGAGATGAGGGTCTATGGCCAGGGCTAGCAGGGATCTGGCATGTGATTTAGGGCATTGTTCCTGGCTGGGTGTGGCCTTTGGGCCTGGTTCTCTGGCCCTTCCAGAGAATCTGTGACACACTTTTTGTTTAAATTAGTCGGAACTGGTTTCTGTTGTTTAGAACCAGAAACCAGGGAAGTGTGGCCCTCCAAAGCTAAGGGGATTGTGGGTGGCATCCCTAAAGGTCTAGCGCCCAGAAGAAGGGAGGGTTTAAACTGTTTGTGTCTGCTCTTGCAGAACAGGGCACAGTAGGGAGGCCCGGGCCCCTCTAGAAGTGACTACACTCCAGAGGGGCCCATTACAAAGTGGAGGCTCTCTAGGACAATGGCCAGGTCAGCGTGGGGTCTAGAACTCATGACGGGGGAGGAGAAAGGAACGTGGAGCTTGCAGCTGAGTAGGCTGAGGGCTCTGGGAAGAACAGCCAAGGTTTGGGCCCCAAGGGCCACTCTGGTAGCTCAGTGTGGTGGGGGTCCAGGCTTTGCTCACAGATGAAATAATTTGAAGATGGACAGAGTTGCCTTTGGAGGAGGTAAGCTCCCCGGCAGTGGAGGTGAGCAAGGGCTGAGTCTTGAAGCAGACAAAAAAAGCCCAAATTGGTTTCCTTGGGTTGGCCATGGGGTGTGTGTCTCCAGGCTAGGTGAAGGGATTAGCCAGTAGCAATACCCAAACACTAGGCTTTTAGTAGAGGCCCTCCCTGTTTATTACCCATCAATCAGGCCTCAGTAGCAGCCCACAGTGCGGGGAATGAACCCTCAAATTACAAAGAAGCTAACAAAGCTTCTTCTTACTCCCCAGGTGACCTGGCCCAAACCCAAGGGTGGGGGGTGGGCGAGGACATGCCTGAAGGACCACCAGGCAGGGGGTGCAAATCTTAGTAACCAAGGATGACTGATAATGGCCCTGATAAACCACCTAAAAAAACAACAGTCCTACATACCCTGAGAAACCATTATTTTCCCATTGCTTAGATGATGATCCCAGATTGCTGAGGACATGGGGGACATGGGGGAGCTGGCATACTCCTGTATGTGGGTGGCTGTATACACTGAAACAACCACTGCAGCAGGAAATTTGGCAAAACCTACACGTCTCCTGGCCCAGGGATTCCATTTCCTGGAATTTATCCTTGGCTGCATGCGCTCACGTGCAACTTGATGTGTGAGCCGTGCTATTGTTTGGTGAAAGCAAATGATGGCAACAACCTGCTCATCCACTAACAGGTGACCCCTCAAAAGGATGATGGTACATCCACATAATGGAAAACTGGGCAAGTGGCAAAGACCATGAAGGTGTTTTACACATAGATGTGTACAGCTCTCCAAGATAAAATAAGTGAAATTGTAAGTGCAACCAGTAAGCTACTATTTACATACAAAAGAAAATATACATCTACTGATGCATTGTAAGCAGTCTATCTCCAGGAGGCACAGGAACCAGGAATAATGGATGCCTCAGAGGAGGAAATTTGTGTGCCTGGGAGAGATGAGAGACTGACTTTTCATTGTAAACCTTCAATATCTTTTGAATTTGGTGAAATGGGCATGTAGTGTATGAGTAACAAAATAGGTAAAAAAAACCCAATGTAACAGAAAATAGAACCTGTGCTAGCTACCCCACCCCCCAACCCCCAGCTCCACAGAGTGTTTCCTGGGTACCTCTAGCAGGTGTCAGTGCTCTCTCTTTGCTGGTGATGAAATGGAACCAGCTCATTGAAGTTCAGGAAGCCACCCAGAATCACCCAGCTGGGAGTGGTGGAGCTGGTTCTGGGCCCCAAGTCTGCAGTCATGCTTGGGGCAATGCCCTCCAGGGAAGCCAGCTGCCCAGTGCCAGTTATTACCTCTGTGCCAGCCCCAGGACTGTGACCTGTAGATCTGGGAGGGAACCACAAAGGAAGACAACCTACTAAGAAGCTAACAAAGGTTTTTCTTCCTCCTCAGGTGGCCAGGCACAAGCCCGGGTGGGGGTTGGGAGGGAACATGCGGGGCAGAGCGGGCAAATCTCAGCAACTAAGGATGACTGATAACGACCCTGATAAACCACCTAATAAAAATAGCCCTAAGTACCCTAGAAACCTAGAAACTCAGCTCTGGGAGAAGGATGGCGCCCCAGTGGAATGGCAGCGGTCATGGGGTACTGGGGAGGCCAAACCTGAAGTGGGCTGGGGCCCAGCTGTGTGACCTCCAGCAAGCAATTTTCCCTGTGTACCTGAGCGCCTCCTCCAGGTTCTCACTGTGGGGGATGTAGGAGGCATAAGTGAGGTAAGAACTGAGAAAGCACCTTCCTCCAAATGAGGTTCTCAAAAATAATCCAAGTCTTTCAGGCTCAAGTGCCCGAATGCCCGGTGCCCAAACCTCTGGGCTGCCCTCGCTCTCGCTGCCTCCTTCTGGGTCCAGGCGGCTCTAAAGCAAACACTCATATTGTTTGCTAAATTGGTCCGATTTTTTTTTTTTCATTCAATTTACACCTATGAAAGGCCTCCCTCCCACACACCAGGTTCAGGTGGCCAGGGCGGTCCTCCTCGCACGCCCCCCTGCCGCGTGTCCCAGCACATGCCCACGCCTCCGAGCACACACGCGGGCCCACAGCTCCCACGTGCCTTGATACTGGCACTCGGACCACGCCCGCCGCCCACACGTACTCGTGGCGCTGACCACTGGGCACCGAGCTTCTCCAGTGGCCTCAAGGGGCGCCCCTCGCCCTACAGCGCCCAGGCGTGGGCCCCTCCCCTACCCCTCCAGGTGGCCAATAAACGCCGCAGCCCGGGCCGGCCCCGCCCATCCCGGGGAGTCCCAGCCGGCGATTGGCACGCCCAGCGCCCCCACACGTGGGGCGGGGGTGGGGGTGAATGAAATGGAAGCGATTCCCCCGCCCCCGCGTTTACCTTCCCCTCCCTGCGCGGCCCGCCCCCTCGGGCTCCCAGTCCAGCGCCTGCCCACCGGCTACCGACTGCACCCGACCCTGGCGTCCGACAACCCCAGACCAGGACCCCGCATCGCGGACCGGCGATGGCCAAGCGCAGCTCGCTGTCCATCCGCATCGTGGAGGGGAAGAACCTGCCAGCCAAGGACATGTGAGCGCAGCGGGGTCTGGGAACCTCAACTTTACGGGGAGGGGCGCTGCCTCTAACGCCTGACCTTTCCGGGGTCCACACGGCCCGCCCACAAGTAGAGCAGAGGCGAGGGTGTGGCGAGCGTGGCCGCAGTGGGAGACCAGCAGGGAAATGGGGACAGTGAGAAGATTTGCTGCAAGCACCAGACAGAGGGTGACAGGGAAGGGTCTGGGACTAGAGAGGGGGCGGGGACCTGTAAGGGGGGGGCCTTAGTGAGCCGGGAGGGAGTGAACTGCGGCTCAAGAGGGGAAGGGGCTTTGATAGGACAGGAGCTGGACTTGGGAGCAACATCGCAGGGAAGACATCTGGGTCAAATACAGTCTCTACCATCTTGGTCAGCTGCCAGAGGTGTGACTGGAGGGGGTGGAGGTGCCCCCCTAGAAATGAAGGTCTTTCTCAGTAGTTCCTGAACTCTTAGTACCTGGGAGTGTCCACCTAAAACCGGCCTGGGACCCAGGGGCTGTCCCAGGGCTTCCTGCTGTGCACTCGGAACAGGAGGAACTGGCATGAAGAGTGGACTTATAGGTGGGAGGCCAGGACTGGAGCAACATGGGCTGTCTGGGGAGTCGCTGTTGCCTGTGCACTCAGCTTTACCTGAGCCATCACTTTTAATCCTCACAAGCACCCAGCAAGGCAGTTCTCACTACAATATTTTATAGAGGAGGAAACCGAGGCTCAGAGATGAGAAATGCTGGCTCCAAGTGCAGAGCAAGGTCTTGAGTCTAGGGCTCCTAACAAGTGCTGGCAACTAAGGCTTTTCCTGGTCTCTGGCCGGATTTGAGGAGCTTTCAGGAGTCCCTGGTCCCACCTTTCTCAGTAGGTCCCAGAGCTGAGCTGCCCCATTTGATCCCTGGCTCCCTTGTATACAGACTTAGGTAATTCCTTGTCCCCGAAGCCTCGGTTCCCTTTCTGTAAACTGGGGGTTGAAGTCTCTCTCAGATAGATATGAGAGGTGGAAAGCACAAAGCTTGAGGGGTGCTGGCTGCCTGGAGGATGGCGAGGAAGTAGGGGAGCCTTGAGACAGCATAGGGTCCAAAGTCTGCTGGGCTGGAGTCTCCCCACACCCAGGCTCTTCACTGGGCTCCTGGATGCAGAGAGGTGGTTAGATGGTGGTGGTGGTGGGGGGGCAGTGCAGGAGGAGGGGGTGAGGGCGTCTCTCTCACAGACAGTGGCCCCTGTAGATTTCTCAGCAGCTCGGTGCCAGGAGCAGTTCCAGTGCAAGACCCCCTGGGCCTGATGAGACCGGGCTCAGCAGTTGCCATGGCTATGGGCAAGGGAGGGGGGTGGGCGGCCATCTCAAGGTGGGTTTCTGTGCTTGGGGGGAGGTGGGGCAGGAGGTAGGACTCTGGTTTCTGGGATGGGGAAACAGACGAGCTCTGAGAAGGGTTTCAGCCTCCAGGCCCAGCCTCTTAAGCACCCCCTACACTGGCACTCGTAACTAGGTCAGCTTGGCCTCTGGCTGGTGGCTGCTGGGAGGAGCAGCCCCTCCGTCTGTCACCTCCCTCCCCATCCCTGCGGCGCTTGCCCTAGTGCCTGGCTCCAGGCTCTCACCAGACTAGGGAGGTGAAGCTGTGGACTGTGCCTTCCTGGGAGCCAAGGTGCCTGGTTCCAGGCTCTCTGTAGCCCTGCCTCTGCACAGCTGAGGGACTCTGGGCAAAGTGCCACAAGTCCTGTCATTTCTGCCTTCCAAATCTCTTTCCTTGTCCTGCCCCCCTACCTGCCCTACTCACCTCCCCTCCCGTCCTCTCCTCTGCTTTTCCCATAGTGGCTGCTGTACACAGTTCTAACCTGTCAACTATCTTTTAAATCCAGCTGTAATCCCCCCTCCAGCCCCTCATATTTGGGGGACTGCCCTTCACAGCTCCGCTTCAGCAAGTATTTGGGGCCTTCTGCTTTCAAGCACTCCCCTTCAGAGCCTTCCAGAAAACTCCTATTCACTCTTTAAGACCCATCTCAAACTTGTCCTCTTCAGGGCTTTTCCTGGTGCTGTGGTGCAGGGTTCATCACCCCTGTTCTGCGCACTTCAGCACTTTGGGTTAGCTGGAGTTAGGACAGAGCCCTTGGTAGCAATTGTTCCTTCCTGGGCTGCTTGTGCCTCGTGACTGTGAGGGTAGGAACCATGACTCATTCGTCCTGACATTCCTGGTGCCCAGAGGGACACCTGGTCCGTAGTAGGGGACAGTAAGAGGTGTTGAGGATCTTCCCAACATTTAATCTTCTTATTAGCCCTATAAGGTAAATACACTCAGTTTGCAGGTGGGGAAACAGTTTCAGGATGTGGAAGTTGTTTGCCAAGGCCACACAGGTAGGTGGAGAAGCCAGATTCAAACCCGCTTTGCTGCTAACAGGCCAAGAATCCTGGCAGGACCGAGGTTGCAAGCTTGCTGTGGGGCTCAGTGTGGAGAGCCTTGAAAATGCTGTGTAAAGCATTTGGCTCCAGGATGGCGGGGATTTGGAGATCACAGGGAGCCCTCACTGAGTGCTGGAGGTGGGGCCGGTGGTGAGCCTGCTTCACTGTGCCCCATCAGCCTCCAGCCTGTCTCCTGAGCAGCACCCCTTCTAGCCAGGGCTTGCACACTCTGAGGACAGGGAGCTCACCATCTCTCATTGTGGCCCATCTTGACTGAGACAGCTCTGAGGAGGGAAGCCCTTCTCACACAGCTGCCGCCTGCCTCCCTCCCACTTCCACTTCTGTGTTTTTAGTTTTCTTAAGGGCGCAGAGCACAGCTGTGCTCCCTGTCACTGACAGCTCTCAAAGCCCACCTGTTCTTGTCATACTGTCTCCCACTGTTTTCCATCCTTCGGTACCTGGGTCAGCCAGACAGGAGCTGAGTCTCATGGTGACCGGTGACCCACTGGCTCCCACGCCCAGTGGCCCTGGGGACGGCTCTGGGGCTATTTCAGGGTTTGCCCTGATCCTTCCCTTTCCACAAACTGGAAACTGCCAAGGCCCTAAATATAGAGGCTCCACAAGAAGCCAGGCTGGGCCAGCACCTGCAAGTTGCTTGGGGAAGGAGAAATGGGAGAAGGGACCAGCCCAGGGACTTCATTAGGGCAGAGTGCACCGGGCAGGGCACAGGTCCCAACAGCTGGCCAGGGACCATATTTGGGTCCACGTCCTTTACCTTGTTTCAGCCTAGTCTCGACACAGGTCCCCTTCACACCCCTTGATCCAGCCACCCAAGGCATTGCTGCCCCTGCACACAGGGTCTGTTCCTGCCTCCAGGCCTTTGTCCATCTCCGTGACCCTGCCTGCAACATGAGCCCTAAACCTCACCATTCATTCACAACTCATCCATTGAGTAAGAGCTGCGCAGTGGGCAGTGCTGGGCTCACAGGGATACATAAGAAGTTCTCTGCCCCCAGAAAACGTCAGGGACCCCCAGAGCAGGAGGCAGAAGCAGGACAGAGGAGGCCCAATGGTAGGGAGCAGCTCACAGAGGTCTCAGCCACGCTGACCTCTCCCTCATTCCTCTTGAGTTCCTTGTTCAAATACGCGTGCAGCTCCTAGGCCCTGCTGCCCAGATGCACAGATGCACAGGGACCTATTACTTGAGGCCTGGGGTCCCCTGGCCTTGGGGTGGTAGGATGCAGGCTGGATGTTCCCAAGGGGCTCTCTGGAGGAGGGGGATCTTGAATGATGGAAGAGGGGGTTGCAGGCAGAGGAGCAAGGAGTCTCAGGCAGGGCTAACATTGACTAAACGCCTCTCATGGGCTGGCCCTCACCTGTGCCAGGGGCCCAGGGCAGCTCCCTGGGGAGCTGGCATGACAAGTTTCACTTTAAGGTAGGGAAGCTGAGTCTTGGCAGACATTTTCTGGTGGTATCAGGAGAGCCCTTGGACACGTTTGTCTGAGTGGCTTCCTCTGCCGGATGAGCCCTTTTTTTTTTTTAAGGTTTTATTTTTTATTAGGGGGTTTGGGAATGGAAACAGCACTGGGGAATTGGGGGAAGGGG